TCTACACATCTGTCAGACCACCACAGCAGCTACAATCTACACATCTGTCAGACCACCACAGCAGCTACAATCTACACATCTGTCAGACCACCACAGCTACAATCTACACATCTGTCAGACCACCACTGCAACTACAATCTACACATCTGTCAGACCACCACAGCAACTACAATCTACACATCTGTTAGACCACCACAGCTACAATCTACACATCTGTCAGACCACCACAGCTACAATCTACACATCTGTTAGACCACCACAGCTACAATCTACACATCTGTCAGACCACCACAGCTACAATCTACACATCTGTCAGACCACCACAGCTACAATCTACACATCTGTCAGACCACCACAGCAGCTACAATCTACACATCTGTCAGACCACCACAGCAGCTACAATCTACACATCTGTCAGACCACCACAGCTACAATCTACACATCTGTCAGACCACCACTGCAACTACAATCTACACATCTGTCAGACCACCACAGCAACTACAATCTACACATCTGTTAGACCACCACAGCTACAATCTACACATCTGTCAGACCACCACAGCTACAATCTACACATCTGTCAGACCACACAGCTACAATCTACACATCTGTTAGACCACCACAGCTACAATCTACACATCTGTTAGACCACCACAGCTACAATCTACACATCTGTTAGACCACCACAGCTACAATCTACACATCTGTCAGACCACCACAGCTACAATCTACACATCTGTCAGACCACCACAGCAGCTACAATCTACACATCTGTCAGACCACCGACAAACAAACAACGTCTTTAAACTGACCATTTGAAGATTTACTTAACTCTCCTGATCATAATAATCCACCATTCTAAAGCCCCACGATTCAAATCCAGTGAAAGATATAATCCAAACACTTTAGATCCATTACGATCCACGGACTGCATAAAACAGTCAATGACACAACAACCGCATGACAGCCAATGACAGCCTTTGTTGAAAGGCGGGGCCTCCCCCCCGTTCTGAACCAGATAAGCTCCATAAATCTCCCCCACTTTTGTCTCTACCAGCCATCCAGTCAGCCCGTCGGCTTTTGGGTCACAAGAAGGAGATTGATTTAGAGTAAGAGTGGTTTTCAGAACTTCATTAAAGGTATTACTAGGGTGATATTTATACCAAGAGAGGCTCTCTGAGTCATGAATTATTTGGAGAAAACAGACAAATCTATGTAAAGTTAGACATTAAACACCCCCATACAGCTGGACTGGAACGATCCTTGTGCTCGACTGAGAGACTGGCAGTCGACTGAATGCATCGTTGAGTATTCGACTCTATGGGGTCACCCCTACTGGCTCCATTTTACCATGCATAAGAAAGTTTCTATTGAGGTCAGAACTGTGAGGCAGATTGATTTTACATTTGGTTTCTGACACTTTAAATCTATGAGAGCCTCTCTACTAATACAAACCTGTTTTATGCATTGTTTGGTTTTTATGTCTTCTGTTTGGTCCATTCTTTAAAGCTCTTTTAGTTATTTATTGGTATTTATTTTTGTTGGCGCTTTATTGATATTTGTTCTTCTATAAGTTGTTGGATTTAGTGCCCATATACTGGCACGGAGAGGTAAAGCCAATTTTCCACCTCACTGGAGCAGCGATTCCTTCTTTTATTTTATATTCTAAATAAGAGTTTCTCAAACTTTTAATAACAAATATTACCAAATAATTCATAGAGTCGGGGAGTCCCTGAAGCCAGCTAAAGTATGGGTTGGCTTTCCGAGAACATTCCCACATAAAACAAGGTAAAAAAGGAAGTCAGTACAGCTTTAATAATTAGATGTTTTATTCATCACATCTGAATCTATGAGCGGTTAAAATGATGAAGCTCTGATTCCATCATAATTATGAAGCACCTCACTATAACACCATGTTGAGTTGTACTAATGGTGTTCCAGCTCTTTGAAATGACTCCACATTATTGTGATTGGTCGTCTGCCTCGGAGTTACTCGTCCTATCAGACGGCATGTCTCCGCGGGGGCATTAAAAGTTTCTCACAGACAGATTGGAGCTCCGTTAATGGCTCATTAAATCTAAATCATTCGACACCCTCTTCAACACAATCATCTGTTTTCATTGACAACTGCAAAACATCACTTTGCACGCTTCACAAAAAAATACTCCTCTTCTTCCTCGATTGGTCACGACACAAACGGAGCGAAAGAGTTTTGCTGAAAGGAGGGGACCGCCTGCAGCCATGTTCGTAGTTTAAGCCAGATGGGATGACTTCACTCCTGTCAGCTCGGGCTCACTTTCATCTCCATTTCCCAGCTGCTGAGGCCTGTCATGACGGTCACATGAGCGAGGCAGTGGGTGACTCGTACAACCCGCTGCCGGGGTGAGCTTTGAGTGAAGGCTTAACTTAATAACACAGGATATACTGCACGCCATCTTCACTGTAATGAAACACTCGCAATGTCATTTCAAGGGAAAGAAAAAGACTAAGCTGGGATATAATGGTAGAAAGTAAGGAAGGATGCATGTGCAAAGCTTTGTCTCACTGAAAAATGATGAGAGCAAGCTGCCTTTCTTTGACAATTGAAGGGTAATCCCAATTTACACATACCAATTTACACTACTGATTGTGTTTCCACAGCAAGAGTGACAGATGACACCCTGATTGGTTTGATTCTTATCACACCCAGGAATAAAAAGAGACATCATACAACCCCTTTTGCACCCTGATACTGACGCATTAAGGGGAACTGAACAAGCCCTAGAACTCCTTAAAGCCATGTTCCCCATGCTGTTTGGTGTAAAAGTGAAAAAAGAAACTTCTCTCGTTGAACAAATCAAACTGTATCTTTGTTTGTGAATCCTCGTGCACGTTGCTTCAGCGTGTTGAGAAAGCTCCACAAACCTGCAAAGTCAAACATGCAGCTCCAACACGGGAGGCTTTTCTGTTTCTCTCTGGGGGTGGGGGGAGGGGGGTTCTTATCACAGTCAGCGCCATATTTGGGGCTCTTGAACTGCTGCTTGATTGGGTTACAGTCAATGGATCTATTTAATATGTATTTTATAGAAACAACATTTAATTGGAGGCAGGAAATAGAAGATTGAAAATAATGAAAAGCTTCAGTCATCGTGTTTTCCATCATATTATTTTCAGCCGTTTGTTTTAATCAAAAACATATTTATGCAGAAATGTATTCGACCCATTTTACTGGTTTGGTTGTTAAGGGGAAAATCATCCAATTTAACATTTGCCCGAAAGCTGAATACATTAAACTGAGTCAACATATCTTTTTACACAAACTCCAATAATCTTGCAGTAAGCTAAATATTATGAAACTTTAATGATGCTCACGGGGGACTATGTAGTATTTAAACTTAATGTGGGTGAAGTTAATGTTTATCTAACTTCTGAAACTGCCGAACAAGCTCCTTCAACTCCATTTGCATTATATTACCACTCCGTTTAAAACAGAGGAGCCCTGATGTACCCTGTGGGAATTACATCCAGACACATGGAGCCAAATAGTGACGCACATGACAGCTTTCTTCTTCTACTCAAGTTGGGTTTATCGGAATATTAAGTCAGTAATTCTGCAACAACATGATCAGATGGACGCCATCTTGCCTAGATGCAAATTAATTCTGTGTACAAAGCTGTCTCCCCCCCTCCTCCTCGATGCTCACTCAGGTCACCATGTGGTGGACTCTGAAGCTTCAGTGTTTATCCAGCTCTGCATGGGTCTGTAAACCTTTCTGTGTTCTAACCTCTCTCCATTTTTCAAAAGCATCTCCAATATTGATCCTAGTTTGAGCACGTTTCTGCTCGTGGAGCTTATTAGAAACATGCAGAGGCTTTTTAGGTCGGGTACAATCACTTCTATCTGAACCACTTCTCTTGACCGCTTCCATCGCTGCAACACCTGTTGACCTGATAACTGCTCTCATATCTGACAAACCGAGGGGCGTCCAAAACGGCCGTGTGGGGGGGGGTCTTAAAAGCGCCTACCTTCTCTGGTCCAAACAAATCCAGAGCATTCAGGAGCAGAATCTAAAGTTAGAAGGAGGACATACTGGCTGCTGCATTGTTGTCAGAGAAGCCAGCACTTCAACATGTTTCCTTAATGATCAGAGAGTAAGATACCTTTATCATCTCACTCTCTACACAGCTCACTGATTGGACCTTTCATCGTCATAAATTGTGAGGGATGAAAGGCTTAATAACTATTCACAGACTTTTGTAAGAAGGGACATAATTCTCCTTTGCTCACATAAGAATGTAGTTTGCTGTGCTGTTGAACTTCACTGCTCTATATTAAGAGGCGTTTTATATATTTTCTCCACCCCATTAAAATAAATGATGGGCATACTAATAAAAGCCCCTTTTGATTTTTCCATTACATCACCACCACCACCCACTATGATCCGTGTTTGTGAGGTCGTTCTTCTGCTCAGCTTAAACTGGACGTCCCACTGGGATCCTAATGCCAGTTTGATGAGATTGAAGAATTTGATTAAACACAGTCTTCGTTCCTGCTAGGCAGAAGAAACACCAGGAACAGAGAAAATAAAAGACAGGTGACCAGCATCAGCTAAGGTACTTTCTTATTATAATCACAAAAGGTGAAAGCATGCCACACTGAAGGGAGGAGGACTACAGGAGAGCACACGCAGACCTACCAAGAGTTATTAAAGCTGCGAAACAAAAGTACAAGAAACACAAATTCAATCACAAATACTTTCACCAGTTTGGTCGTACTCGAGTGAATGACTCAGATTCTTGAACTTGCATACTGACGACTCAGAATTGGACTCAGTGAACTCACAGCAGCAGAAACAATCAGTGCATTTTATGGCTGTCAACTCTTATTCTATATTTGAACATTCATTCTCTATCGGGGTGGAGGAGGGGGGTATTTTTGCAGCTGTTGACCTCCGTACTGAATCAATAAGTAACGGTTGTGTTCATGCAGAAACCCTCATCCCTCTGGTCGTATTACTCACCCGGCTGCTCTGATGACTGTGCAGCAGCATCACCGTCAGCTCCCTCAGTGACTCCTCCACCCGTCTCATGAACTCCGCAGACGGCAGCCTCTGGGAGCAGAACAGGTCCATGGCCCGAGCCGCCACCTGGCAGCCCTGCAGGACGAGGTCGGCAGGTCCCAGCGGAGGGGGATCCCTGCACGCCGACACCACCGAGTCAAGGAGCAGGCACACAGAGTCCACCAGCACCGACCCTGCGTCCCCGTCTGAGCAGAACCAGAGCGACTCCAGACCTCTGCTGTCCCCCTCTACTCGGTGCAGAGCGCACAGAGACTGCAGGAAGTGTACATGAGGGAGGACGGCTCTAGTGCGAGGAGTTTTCTGAAGACTGGAGGGGACGGGAGGCGGAGGGGGAGTGATGGCAGGTTGTGGGTCCTCCAGCATGAGTTCAGGGGTCTCTGAGTCAAAGCCTGGTTGAAGGTCTGAGCTGAGCACCACACTACCTGGACCAAACAGATCCTGAGAAACGTCCATTGAGCTGTCCTGACCTGAGAGATTCAAAAACAGAAATTTAGATTAAAAAACAACAACTTTTTTTTGTTTAATCTAGGCCTCATTTTCATCAGAATTGTTTACAATGTATTTCTGTTTTTTATTCTCATGTATTGTTTACTTTATTGTGGCATTCTTGCTAACGTCCAAAATGTTGCATGTTTACACTTGAAATGAATTTAACTTTCTAGAATAACTTGGTGACGTCTTTGCACGTGTTTTTTATGCTGTGTGTGTTGGGTAGTGGTCGACCAATTATCACCCTGGACGATTATTGGGGGCTGACATTCAGCATTCGGCTGATTATGTGTATGCACGTTTTGTTGTATCCATCGCCGATAAATTGAAGAATTGGAAAAGATGGCTACTTTAGCGTCACTGCAGGTGTGTCTTCCCCTCTAGGTCCCGCCCACAACACTATCTGATTGGCTAGACATCTCTCGAGTAATTTCCAATCATCACAGAGTCTGGGTGCCACTGACTCGCCCAGAGAGATGAGAGCAGCAAGTCTTTTGTTGGGAATTATAATATTCCAAATACTACATTTCTACAGTAGATTTTCATTTTTACTGTAAATGCATATCTGTTCCAAATATCTGTTATCGGTCTAATTAACTACTAATAATCTGTATCGGTATCAGCTCTGAAAAAACAATATCGTCGACCCCTAGTGTGTGGCCTTGTTCTTTCTGCTTCCTTAATATTTCTGCTTAGAGTGATGTATGCAATCAGAGACTGTGACGTGACAGTTCAACAAAACATAGCATAAGGAGACTTATTTGTCTGCTCCAGGGGCCAAAGTTGTACCCTGACACTAGCTGGGGCTGTAGCCTTACACTGGCTGTAACTCTACAACCCAGATGTAAACAAGCCCAGTGAACGGATAGGGCCTTTCTCAAACCGCTCCCTCCACACTCAAACTCTGGCACAGAGCGAACTCCGTCTGAAATCAAGCAAGCTTTAGGATAAACTTTAAAATAATCCATGCCTAATGTTGACTGTTTTCTTCCCTTTGGACCTACAGTCACTCTGAATTTAAACTGCAACATCCCTAGTTTTTAGGAGACAGCCTTGACAGAAACATAACGACTATACATTCTGGTTTCATGTCACACTATCAAAGGACAGAATGGAGGTCAGAGAAGACCTCGTTCATGAAGGGGCTCTGGGACTCAAGGACACCAGCGGATCGATGAAAAAACATCCAATATCGTCTGGAGAGCAAAAAGCAATGACATATGAGTCATCCTCCTGAATGATTATTATATAATTACACCATGAGCATCATATTAACACATAATTACAGTCAAGCGTGTCCACTATAATCCCTGCAGGACACTTTTTAAATCACCCTGGAAATTTGCAAATGTGCCTCATCCAGCACGGTGTGTTTAGTTCTTTTTCTGAAAATGTATATTTTCATTGTCATAACCAGAAACACATCAGGACCCCTCTTCATATTCTGGAGGGATATTGTGCTAAATTATACTCTCACATTTTCTCCGTATGTAAATCATTTGTTTGTTTCTGTGGCTCTGATTCACAGCGGACTAAAAGGAAGAATATTAAAAAAAGGAAAACATCGAGGAGAAGTCAGCAGTGGTGCTTTTAAACAAGCATATTTTAGGAAAGACTATAATTCTTTGTTGTATTTCAAGTCATCTCCTCAGTGGGCTCCTAAAGTCATGATGATGGAGGCTGCAGCTCATAATTCTCTGAACAGGTGGACCTTGGTTATTATTTTCTCCGGCTGTTCTCCTGAACGTCTCCCCTCGGACCCTCCAGCTTTTACATTTAGGAGGACGAGTGTTTTCCCCTGAAGCCGATGCTGCCATAAAGACTTCACTGATTTTCACTGTGTGCGTGTTTTTACACAGAGTGGGGAGTTGTTTCAAAATGACAGATTATCTACTGGGAAACTTGGCTGCCTGTGCCACAGAAATAAATGACTAAATAATTTAAACCTGTCATATCTGGCAACAGGCAGAAGTAAGAAGTAAGTTCTGCGCTGGCAAATAGAAAAAGAGTAACCTCTGAAAACAAGGCATAAAGACAGACTTAAGTACATACTGTGCCCATCATTCATGAGACGTGCACTTTGCCAGGAGTCTGGGTTTCTACAGAGGTCACCATCAAAATAAATAAACTGACTCGTGTAGTTATTCTGCTCTTTCAGCAACAAGGAGCAACTTTACAGGATCATTTCAACCATTCATGCAAAGGTTGGCACGGGGCTATTTCACAGTTGCTCCCCTCCCCCTGCTGGTCTGCTTTAGTAACATCGTTCCCTGTCACACTTGTAAATGTAGTAGTCGTTTTTCAATAAAAAAAATGTAGAATTAATTCAGAATATGACTGCCCCACTGCCACCACCGCACAGACACAAAACATTTTTAGGACTTTATTTGACTATTGCCTACGGGGCGCCACAAGTGGAAGTGTCATATCTAGTATTATTCTATTACTGTATTTTTTCTGAACTTCTTGTTATTTTTGATAATTATATTCCTGTTTCTTGAGCTGTTGTGAAAATTTCCCCCATGAGGAATCAATAAAATGTATCTTTATCTTTATCTTTATCTTTAGCCTAGCGGTTATCTTGCGTTCCCCATGTACAGGCGCCATAGTCCTCATCGCAGCGGCAGTGGGTTTGAATCCACTCCTTCCTACTCAAGCTCTACTTGCTCATCATAATGGGAGAGTCATCTTCATAAGCAGGTAAAATAATTAGTTAATTCACAGCGTCCAGCCTTGGCGTAAACTGTCTGTGGTAAAATTCATCTCATCCTTAATTCCAGCGTCTCTAACAGAGGCACGCAGCAAAGACAAGACAACACAAGACAACATCAGCGAAGTAAAACACCTGCTTCCACTTCAAGCAGGTGTTTATTGTAACCGTGGTGAGCGGGCCAAAAGGAGGGAGCAGCAGTGATAAAAACCTGTCTCCATCACGAGCAGTGTGTTTATGTGATCATTAGCAGCCTGCGAGATAACGTCAGGACGGTCCGCTTGGTGTCTGAGCTCCTCTGAGGACTCGTGTCAGGATGTTCCCGTCCTTGAGATATCCTCCTCTCCTCACACTAAAGAGCATCAGCGCAGTCACACTGTGTGCTCCCGTATCTTTTTAAAGTGTCTGCTCTGTTTTAACAGCAGCTCACCTTCCACAGCCAGTGTGCAGGTCACGGCATGAATTATTCTTAAACTTTGACGTCTCTAGAGTGAAAACAACATTTCAGGATGAATACCAAAGTTATCAGAGACAAGTCGGACCCGGAGATGCTCCTGCTGCTATGATCATATTCTCATATGACTTACTGTCTAACCCTTTTTATCCTATAGAGCTAGAAGTTTGTCTACTTTAACTTCTGTTTTCATGCCACCTTTTTCTTCTCCTTCACTTCTTATCAGAGGAAAATGTACTACTTTGTTTACCCGAGTGCCTAAGCTACTTTACAAATGAATCTTGCCGTGGAGTAGTGTTTTCTAACCAATCATGTCACCACATGTTGTAGCTTGCAGAAGTTCATGCGATTTTGCTGATTGCTTGAAGTGGCTATATAACACTTTAGAAAAAGGTATTATTTTAAGTCTGGTATGCATACTTAGTCTAACACATCTGAACCCTTCTCCTCAGCAGGTTCTGTGCACACATGCACAACAGAGTCCTACCTGCTGCCTCAGTGGAGCTCTTTGTGTTGGACGTCACTCTGTTGATCAGTGATTCCTGACGCAGACTCAGCACCTCCTGCTGCAGCTCCTGGGCTTTCTTCTTCCAGCTTTCATCCTGAGTCCTCAGCTTGCAGCCTAAAGCCTCAGCGTGCTCTCTGCCACTCATACTCGGGGGCCTGTTCCTTATTATTGCCACTGCCAGGGCCACCCTGGCTTTCTGGAGAATCCATGCTGCCTGACTAGCTCCTGAGACGGATTGGAAGAGAGTCAGTAAGCAAAAACATTCATGGAAATACAAAAGTGTTCCTCTAAACTCAGCCTCATTAATAGTTTTATCAGAAAATAAATGTTTTACCAAACTTTTGTAATGGTGACACTTTTACTCAAGAAACAAACTATTCCCCAACCAATCTGAGGATGGATTGGTTGTTTAAGTTGATTTTTACGCAAAATGCAAATTCTCTGTTTCCTGTATTATGTTTTGCTTTTGTCAAGGACTGCACAACATATTAAAATAAGAAGCACAGCTGCAGCTATTTGTTTTATAAAACGTGCAACAGTAAGTGCCAAATCATCATGTCATCATAAAGTTCCAAGGTTTGAATCCCCGTCTGTCAGGAGTCTCTCTGTGAGGAGGTTCCTGGTCTGAATCCCGTCTTCAGGAGTCTCTCTGTGAGGAGGTTCCTAGTTTGAATCCCCGTCCTTCAGGAGTCTCTCTGTGAGGAGGTTCCTAGTTTGAATCCCCATCCTTCAGGAGTCTCTCTGTGAGGAGGTTCCTGGTTTGAATCCCCGTCTGTCAGGAGTCTCTCTGTGAGGAGGTTCCTGGTTTGAATCCCCGTCCTTCAGGAGTCTCTCTGTGAGGAGGTTCCTGGTTTGAATCCCCGTCCTTCAGGAGTCTCTCTGTGAGGAGGTTCCTGGTTTGAATCCCGTCCTTCAGGAGTCTCTCTGTGTGGAGGTTCTGGTTTGAATCCCCGTCCTTCAGGAGTCTCTCTGTGTGGAGGTTCCTGGTTTGAATCCCGTCTTCAGGAGTCTCTCTGTGAGGAGGTTCCTGGTTTGAATCCCGTCTTCAGGAGTCTCTCTGTGAGGAGGTTCCTGGTTTGAATCCCATCTGTCAGGAGTCTCTCTGTGAGGAGGTTCCTGGTTTGAATCCCCATCTGTCAGGAGTCTCTCTGTGAGGAGGTTCTGGTTGAATCCCGTCTGTCAGGAGTCTCTCTGTGAGGAGGTTCTGGTTTGAATCCCCGTCTTCAGGAGTCTCTCTGTGAGGAGGTTCCTGGTTTGAATCCCGTCCTTCAGGAGTCTCTCTGTGAGGAGGTTCCTGGTTTGAATCCCCGTCCTTCAGGAGTCTCTCTGTGAGGAGGTTCCTGGTTTGAATCCCCGTCTGTCAGGAGTCTCTCTGTGAGGAGTTCCTGGTTGAATCCCGTCTTCAGGAGTCTCTCTGTGAGAGTTCCTGGTTTGATCCCGTCCTTCAGGCGTCCTCTGTGTGAGGTTCCTGGTTT